AGCCATTCCCCAAGGAGACCTCCCTGGAGCAGAGACAGCACCGGTGGCTGTGGACCTGCTCTGCTGAGCTCCTGGCTGTGCCACAACACAAGGGTCCCCTGGAAGTGACCCTGAGCCAGAGCCAGGCTCCTCGCTCCTTCCCACCAGCCTCAGAGCCTGGAGCAGCCTGTCCTTCACCCATCTTTCCATCACCCCCGGGGCCGAACAGATGCAGGCAGGACTCTGGTTTTCAGGAAACAGCTTTTCCCCATGAATTTCAGTCTCCTCTGGTTGTTTCTAAGTAACATAGGCATTGAGGCTGATCTGTGGCACAGGAGCTGCCAGCTTCTGTGCTGGCTGTGTTAGGATCACAGAGTCATGGAATCCCAGGTTTGGAGGGACCTCAAGGACCACCTGGTCCAACTTTTTTGGGAAAAGCCTGATTTTAACAAGAGGGGGCTGGAGGTTGGGGCTCAGCAACTGTGTCCCGCAGTGGAGGCGGTGCAGGGCATTCCTGGGGTGCTCCTCCATCTTACAACTGTGATTCTGGAGGGGGTGCAATGACCCCGCAAAGCAGGGACCCCTCACCTGCCCTCCAGGGCAGGATGTGGTGGAGGGGTGCAGGCAGCTGGCAGGGTCAGGGTGCCTGGTCCTGAATTCTGCTCCCTGCTGTCGGACAGGAGCTGGAGGAGGGGTGACAGGGCACAGTCACTCTGTTGTCCTCAGCCAAGGGACACTTTGGGGTGCAGGCGGGGGTCCCGTGCTGGACAGGAGTGGGGCTGGGGCCCAGTGGTTAATTAAATAGATCATTTATTTAAAGTGAGATTCAAATAATTGTAACCCCGAGATAGAGAAGGCATCAGAGGAGATGAAAAGGGAGAGAGAGAGAAAGGAAGCAAAGGACAGAGGTTCGAAATGGAGAGGGAGATTAGGAGAGAGATGAAAGAGAGAGGAGAAAGATAAGAGGGAGAGAGGGGACAGATCTCGGCGCGAGATGGGTGTTGCCAGGGAAACAGGAAGAATGAGGGAGCGATGGAGGGATGGAGGAGCAGAGGATGCTGGGGGTGGGGAGCAAGGGATTGAGGAGCAGAGCGATGGAGGTTTGCAGGATGGAGGGGTGGAGGGATGAAAGGGCAGAGGAATAGAGGAACAGAGGGATGGAGGAGTGAGGGATGGAGGGTTGGAGGCTGGGGAGCAAAGGCTGGAGGAAAAGAGAGATGGAGGCTGACAGGATGGAGGAGCAGAGAGATGGAGTCTCAATCGCAGAAGGAGGAAAAAATGGATTCCCAGCAAAATGGGAAGCAGGAGAGGGATGTCCCAGCTCGGCATGGGAGTCTTTGTGCTGGGAAGAGCATTTGGGATGGCAGCTCTATCCCTCTACAGTGAGCAGCCACAGCACCTGCTGCTGCCCCCAGCCTGACCCTCTCACCCCAGTTCCCATGGGTGGATCTCACATCCCTGGCTGGCCATGGGGGAACCAGGCAGCTCCGTGCTCCACACACCTTTGTTCTGTAGCACTGGTAACCTCTGGTTATCTGAAAACCATTCCCTTTTCCCTCTCAGTCAGAGTTTGCCAATAACCAGGTGGCTTCAAAGGGGTAAATATTTGCTTCTGACTGATGGACACAGTGGTCTGAGTGAGAATCCTCCAGTTCCATGGAATGTGTTCAGAGGAAGCCCCCGTGGAGCGGCTGTGGAGGGTTTGACATGCTCTGACAACATGAGGCCACTCCTCCCCAAGCTTTTGTCTGTCCCACGGACCCCAGGTCCTCACTTTGCCTGACTTGGTTTTCCACCTGGTCTTACTAAAAATATTATCAACATCCTGCTGCAAATCCCAGGTTATGTCCTTTGTTTTGTGAAGCCAAAGCCCCTAAAGATGACACTTCCTCCACCCAGAACCACTTCAGTGACACACGAGGTGTCACATCCATCACTCAGAGGCTGAAGGGAGTGGCTGCTCTCTGATCTGCTGACAGTCAGTAGAGGTTTCTTTTTTCTGGAGAAGCTTTCCTTAAAACAAAACTTTTCCTTTTAAAATGTCGCTTAGCAGTATCTGTCTGGACACACCAACTGAATTTAAGCATGTGTTTGGTTTCAGTGGCAGCAGTGCCTGGCCCTGAGCAGCTCCTGCCCGTTTCAATGAGCTTTGACTCATTTTTACAGCAGTTCCTCTGCGCTGGGGGTCAGTTCTGGGGCGAGCAGTGCTGGTTTCACGTCCGCCATGGCAGCCAGAGCTGCTCTGGGCATGCCACCAGCACAGAGCCAGGGCTGGGCAGTGAAGCCGAGGTGAACCCCAAATCCTCGGACTGGTGCAGGACAGACACGCTGCGTCAGGTTTAGGAATAATTTTAGTTGTTGTGATTTTCAGGAAAACAACATTATTCTGTTTGGAATTGTGGGGGGTTGAGCAGCTTTACGTGAAATCTGCAGGCAAGATGAAAGCCTGCTTTCCCCTTTATTAAATTTAAATGAAAGCTGCTTTTGAGAAAAGAAGGAAAATAAAATCAAAGGTTTTCTCACAAATATCAGATCAGCTATTTTCTGGTAAAAAGTGTTGAAAATTTTTAGCACCCCCTCCCCCAGAGAGACCCTCCTCACCCTGAGCCCCCGTTTGGCTGGGGCTCAACCCCAGTGCCCTGGGAGCTTCACTTGGGGCTTGCGCTGCTGCATCTGCCCCCTGGGAACCCCTCAGGACCCCCCCGGCACCAGCAGCAGGGGGTCTGCAGAGGGGTCCTGCAGAGGGTCTCACGTCACTGCTGGGGTCAGCACTGGGACAGGAGTCTGTGCCGTGTCCAGGAGCTCTGCGTGCTCCAGCCCCAGGCATCGTCCTGCTCCCCTGGACCAGCTGCTCCCAGTGGGACCAGCCACGGCCAGACTGTGCTCTGTCACAACACCCAGCACTTCTGTTTTGGCAGCTCGAGCAAGGCTGGAATAGCTCCCTTGGAGCACAGAGGTGCCGCCAGTGCTCTGCACTCCGGAGTGCTGAGGGTTTCCTGGGGGAGCTGCAGTGTGTGACCCCACCTCACTCGCCAGCGTATTGGGAAACGGTGTTTCCAGCCTGGCTCGGCAAGTCCCGTGGCATGAACAGGGAAGTGAGAGCGGGAAGTGAAACAGCTGCCTCTGCCCTGTTCCCCCTTCCCCTTGTGGTGTTTGTGCAGCTGCAGCTCTGGAGCACTGCGGCCTCAGACAGCACAGCTTCTACCCCGTGTCCCAGGGCTCGTGTGTCCAATGGAGACAAGTGCACGAGGTTTGTGCAGCACAGGGCTCTAGTTTTCCCGCTGAGGAGCAGAGCTCATCCCCTTTCCCCAGTGACTGGCATAGGAATCCACATTTACTTTCCCCTAAAAGCCCCTGGCTTGGGGTGGTAGGACCCCCAGGTGCTGATCTGTGGGACAGATGAGTGTCAGTCTCGCAGCTCCCTCATCTCGTGGTGCTCGTTTTTGGGAACAAAGACCCGGCGCTGTGCTGGGAGCCCAGTGTCCCTCCACTGTGCCAGGGACATGGGGAGAGCAGTTGGGTCCCCTCTCCCGTGTCCCTTCTCCCCTGTCTGCAGTGGGCAGTGCAGGGCCCCCCATGGAGCCCCACGGGAAAGGGGGTCCCGTCTGGTGGGGTGGGGCCCCGGGGCTGTATTGTGCGTGCTGCCTCTCCCCGGCTGCTCCCTCTTATTCCTCCCACCCCTCCTCTTCTTCCTGCCACCGCCCTCCCCTGCTCCTTGCTTTGTTTCGCTGCCTCGGCACTCATCCTCCCCTCCATCCTCTTCCTCTCCATCTCCTCCCTGCAGCCCAAAGCCACCCCTCTCCTCCATTCCTGCCCCCTGCCCCTGCCTCTCCAGGGTGCCTGGGCTGAGACAGGGGTGCTTGGCTGAGACCTTCCTCCCACCTCCCCCCAGTATCCCCCTGGCAGTTCAAGCCTGGGCAGGGTCCTGGTCCTCTCACGGGGTGTGTCTGACCCTGGGCCAAGACTCACGGGCACTGTGCCCAGTGCCAGTGCCATGGTGGCCCAGAGACAAGAGGGGACTGAGAAGGGACCCCATACCCTGGCTGTCCATGGGCAGCAGACCCCTGCCGTTGGTGTTACTCCCTTTCTCTGTCTCTTTCCTGTTCTCTCACTGGTTTTTCCCCTTCCCATCATCATCCCATCCCCTTCTCCATCCCATCCTGTGCGCTGTGGGTGGTGTTCAGGTGGGCACACAGGGCCATGAAAGGATTGGCGGGAGAGGCCGATGTCCCTGGCCACGCTCCACAGCCGACCTGGCCGTGGGATGATATATCCGGGCACAGCAGGCTTTCCCCACTCCAGAGCTGCTGTTCATCTCAGAATTCCCTCACACCGGGCAGGTCCTCCTGGGACTGCGACAGGATCTGGCTCAGAGTTTTATCCCTGTTTTACCTCCCCCGCAGGATTTCTCTTTGTTGTAGCTGCAGAAATAATTGTAGTTAGGAGAACGCTCCTCAGTGGGAGGAAGCGGCGGCTCTCCAGGCACATCCCTGCCTGTCCTTGCTGGCTGCTGAGGGGGGTCAGGGGACCCTGTGGGCCCTGTGCTGCCCCCCATGCTGTGGTGGTGCGGAGACCCCCTGGGTGAGTGTGCCAGGCACCAGTGCTGAGCCCAGCGAGTCTCTTGCCTGCTGCTGGGCAGGCTGACCACGTCCTGGTGGTCCCAGTGGGTCTGGGCTCCATCCCTCGTGCTTACTGTGCTGCTGCTGCTCCTGCTCACTTCTGCCAGAGCACAGACCAACACTCGGCTGTGACTGGTCCCCAAATGGTGTGGGCACCTGCCCCTGGGAGTCACTGCCAGGAGCTCGAGGGCGTGCAAGGAGCCAGAGCCCAGCCTTGGTGACTGATAGCCCAGCCAGAGAGGGCATGTGGTGCTGGGGACCTGCACTGGCATCACCCACTTGGGTCTGGGGTTCGCTGGGGATGGTGCTAAGGAAAGCAGTGATGGCTGCAACGAGCCCCTCACGGCACGATGTCTGTGGCGTGGGGTGCTGGGGCTCACGGCCGTGTCTCTCCCTCCCCAGCCATGACGGTGTAGGCCAGTGGCGAGAGATGGATCGGTTCAGCGAGTGCGGGACACAGACGGATGCGGTGGTGGTGCTGTCCCTGGCACAGGCTGCAGTCCTGGGCCTGGTGTCCGATAATGAACTGCTCGGGGCCACCATCACCCCTGCCGGCTTCTTCCCGGGGCTGGCGGGGGAGCTGCCGGACAACGCCACAGCAGAGCCTGGGGAGCACGAGGGCGAGGAGCAGGCGCCCGGGGAGGGGCAGGATGAGGACACCCTGGAAGCAGAGTTCTCCTTGGAGAAGCACGCCCGGAGGAGGAAGCGGCCGCCTGTGAGGCTGGTGCCCAAGGTCAAGAGCGAGAGGGCAGAGGTGGAGGCAGAAGCGTCGTACGACACATCCGTCCCTGGGGACGAGGAGGGCGACGGGCAACGTGGCCACCTGCCCCAGCCCCCGGAGCCCGGCCAGGAACCAGCAGTGCAGAGCGGTGCCATGAAGATGATCGACCTGGGCACCTTCAGCAGGAAGCCCCGGCGCCTGCGGCACCTGCGCCGGCACCGGGAGCTGGAGGGCACCGAGCGCCGCCGCGGCGGGGGGGGTGACCCAGAGGGCGGCCCCGCGGGGGCCCTGCCGACCACAGGCACGTTCGAGGTGGGCGCCCCATCCCCTGGTCAGGTGGAGGCCCCCGCACCAGGGGACCCCGAGCAGGGGAAGAGCGAGCAGGGCTGTGGCTGGCAGGAGCCAGGGGAGCTGGAGGCAGAGGTGGCCGGTGGCACCAGCGAGCACAGCAGGAAGGCGCAGCTGGACCGGCTGGACATCAACGTGCAGATCGACGACTCCTACCTGGTGGAGGCCGGGGACCGCCAGAAGCGCTGGCAGTGCCGCATGTGCGAGAAGTCCTACACCTCCAAGTACAACCTCGTGACCCACATCCTGGGCCACAACGGCATCAAGCCGCACTCCTGCCCGCACTGCAACAAGCTGTTCAAGCAGCCCAGCCACCTGCAGACCCACCTGCTGACCCACCAGGGCACGCGGCCCCACAAGTGCGGGGTGTGCAGCAAAGCTTTCACCCAGACCAGCCACCTGAAGCGGCACATGCTGCTGCACACCGACATCAAGCCCTACAGCTGCCGCTTCTGCGGCCGTGGCTTTGCCTACCCCAGCGAGCTGAAGGCGCACGAGGTGAAGCACGAGAGCGGGCGCTGCCACGTGTGCGTGGAATGCGGGCTGGACTTCTCCACGCTCACCCAGCTGAAGCGGCACCTGGCTACGCACCAGGGCCCCACGCTCTACCAGTGCCTGGAGTGCAGCAAATCCTTCCACTACCGCAGCCAGCTGCAGAACCACATGCTGAAGCACCAGAACGTCCGGCCCTTCGTCTGCACAGAGTGTGGGATGGAGTTCAGCCAGATCCACCACCTCAAGCAGCACTCGCTCACGCACAAGGTAGGGCCTGGGGATCCCCAGGGTGCTGCCCTTGCCGTGCTCTAGATGTGGGTGCTGGGGGAGAGGGGTGTCACAATGTCCTGCACCCCGGCCAGGCCTGGGAGGAGATGGGTGGTGAGTGGGCAGTGGTGTCTGTGGCTGGTGTTGCTGGGGTCCCTGGGACCCAGCCTCTCTCCTTCTGGGTATTCCCATCCCTGGGGAGGGAGTTTCCAAGCTACTGCAGAGTGATGTGGGGGGCCCTGGCCAGGAGTTGCCACATGCCCTCTGGGTGGGCTGTAAGTGGGAATTTGCCCTTTTCCAGGGATTCTTTCATGGGGCTGAGCCACAGACTAGAGATGGGACAGAGCTTGTCCAGCCCCCATCCACAGCCCCTGCATGCTGCTGGGCTCAGGCTGGGCCGTGCTCTCGGCACAAGGAGCCCATCCCTCACCCACGGTGTCCCTGCTCCATTCCCGGCACTGCCCGTGTGCCCCCGATGCCCGGGGGTCATGTCGAGCCCCTGTCCACAGCTCTCCCACCCCTGGCAGGGTGTGAAGGAGTTCAAGTGCGAGGTGTGCGGGCGGGAGTTCACGCTCCAGGCCAACATGAAGCGGCACATGCTGATCCACACCAGCGTCCGCCCCTACCAGTGCCACATCTGCTTCAAGACCTTTGTGCAGAAGCAGACGCTCAAGACCCACATGATCGTGCACTCGCCTGTGAAGCCGTTCAAGTGCAAGGTACCGGTGGGAGTGGGGGGCTGGCAGAGCTAGGGAGGGGGAGAATGGTCCTTTTGTGCAGTGCCCCTGGGAATCTGGCCAGGCTGAGCCGTCGGGCACTGGAAGCAGATTTGTGATGCCTCCCCTGCTTGCTTCGGCATAGAATGTCTGCTCCAAGCTGTGGTGGGAGCAGTGCTGCTGATGGAAGGACAACCACTGCCTCTCTCTGACCACTGCTGGATGCTCTGGAGCTTCCAGCGCCAGCACCGCATCCCCAAGCCCCCCACACAGAGGGGGAGGAGGGCATGTGGCAGGAGCCACCCCAGAGGGGCAGCAGCCCCATTACTCTGGGTGGGAGCTGCGGGGAACCTTTGGGGCAAGGTCTGCTCTGCAGAGCCTTTGGCAGCTCTGGGGGTGCTCCCCGTGCTGGGGAGCCCTGGCTGACCACGGGCGTGCTGCCGGCAGGTCTGTGGGAAATCCTTCAACCGCATGTACAACCTGCTGGGGCACATGCACCTGCATGCTGGCAGCAAGCCCTTCAAGTGTCCCTACTGCTCCAGCAAGTTCAACCTGAAGGGCAACCTCAGCCGGCACATGAAGGTCAAGCATGGGGTGATGGACATCAGCCTGGACAGCCAAGGTGGGTCCCCAGGGCGGACTGGGCACTGTGGCTGCCCCCGCAGTGCCAGTGGCTCCAGGAGCTGGGCTGTGTTGTGGCAACTGTGGCAAGTTCATGTCTCCTCACCCGAGGGCTGCCCCCACAAGTGGCCTGGACTGAGCAGGGCTAGGGCTCCCAGGGAGCTTTGGGCTCCACACCCAGGGAGGGGGGAGCTGCTGGCCCAGCCCTCCCCACAGGTCTGTCACCGCCTGTCCCTGTGCTGACTCCTAGATGCCATGATGGAGCTGGCCGGGCCTGACCACGCCGAGCTGGACGGGCAGCAGGAGATGGACGACTTTGAGGAGGAGAACTCTTACAGCTACGGGGCAGTGGGCAACCCCCCGGACGAGCATGCACTGGCCGAGCAGGCCATGAAGGAGATGGCGTACTACAACATGTTGTAGCTGGGGCTGGCGGGGCTGTGGGGGCTTGGCAGGGTGAGAGGGGCTGTGGCATCCAGCCAGACCCCCTAGAACTGGAGGTGGGGCTCCTGCTGGGGTTGGAGAACACAGGGATGTCCAGAAGCCTTTGCCAGACCTGCTGTGGCTCTGCTGCTGCCCCCCTGCCCGTGCCCTGTGCCCAGTGACTTGAAGCTGCAGGCAGGGGAGGCACAACCCAGAAAACCACTGAATGGGAAGGGGCCACAGTGGGGCAAGATGATGAGCATCACTAACCATTCTACCTCCTGGGTCCCCCCTTGGGTGTGCTGGAGCTCCCCCCGGGCTCCCCAGAGGGCAGAAGCCCCTGTCTGCGGGAGGAGCTGGGTTTGCCCTCCTGCTCGCCCTGGGGCTCCCCATGCCAGGCTCTGGGGAACAGAACAGAATATTTTCATAGAAGCTCAGGGCGCAGTTGGTGCCCACAGCTCGGGGTCCAAAGCTGCAGCCAACGGCATATCTAGGGGAGGCAAACCCAGCCCAGCCCCAGCAAATGATGGTATTTTGAAAGTAATTTATTTTTTTCAGATGTGCCGCGTGGTTGGATTTATCTTTTCTCTGAGTTCAGTTCCCTTCAACCAATGTGCTTTGTAAACCCGTGTAAGCTGTGTGGTCTGTGCAGGGAGCAAGGGGGGGCTGCGGGGGCCTGAGGACAAACTGGCACCCCCTCCTTGCCCCTCAGCTGCTCTAGGGTTCAGGAAAAGGTTCTCACTTGGGCAGAGGTGGGGGGTTTGCCTCCTCCATGCCCAGGGATTAGGGAAGAAGCATCTGGGGCAGTGCTAGGTCCAGGACCGCTATCTGGGCTCCTCACCCTCCCTACTGTGGGGTTGGGGTTGGCAGCACCCACGTCATTGCCCTGAAGTGTGCCCAGAGCTGGAGAGGGTCCTGGTAGGCATCAAGACGTGGGATCCAGCCAGAGCACAGGGTTTGGGACCCCTGTGCTGACCCCCCCCACACTTTGTGCCCTTGGCTGTGCTCCCTGGGGCTGGCCACCATCTGCCCCGTCCCCAGAAGTCCTGGGCTGGCTCTGGGGGTGGCACCACTCAGCCTCCCCACAAGGCAGTGTGCCTACCACCCTTGCCATCCAACTTCTCCCCCGCAACATCATCCAGCCTGGGGGCAGGATGAAGATGGCCACAGCCTTGGCCAGCCCAGACCTCTCTCAGCATGGCAGGGCTGTGCCCCCAGCCAGTGTGGACCCCCACATGCTACCTCAGGCCAGTGCCAAAATGCTGGGGTGCACGGCCTTCCAGGCTGGCGAGGCTGAGCTGAGGGGTCTGGTGCTCCCTGTGCCCCGCAGTGCCCACACCACAGAGCTGTGCCACTATGATGTGCCATGGCTGGGGAGGTGTTTAATGGCACCACAGAGTTATGGAATACATGAATCAGTGCAGGACAGACCCCCCAGCCCTACAACTCCTGCTACAAAGGCTTTAAAAACACTCGTAAGAAAACTGCTTATAAAAATGATTCATCTGTTCCTGAGGCATGTCAGGTTGCTGGGGGTAGCACTGGGCCCCTCCCTGCCCCGTCCATCCTGGGAACAGCAGGGCCCCCCTGCCCCCTACTTCTTGCCCAGGGCCTTGTCCAGGTTGTTCTTGATGGCGTCGAGGAAGTCTGTAGTGTTCACAAAGTGCTCGTTCAGCTTCACACTGGGGGGACAGAGAGGGGTTGGGGGGGTCCCTGCCCACCTCCCCTCACAGGCAGCACGGCCCTGAGTGTGAGATGTGACCCGTGCCCAACCCTGCCAGCTGCGAATAGACACCCCAAGTCCCTGGGGACTTTCCACAGACCAGCAGCTGCCTGTGGCCACTGCGCCAGGCCAGCCTGCCCTCGTGGTCACCCGTGCAGCCACGCTGCCCCTGTGCAGACAGCTGCCTCCCCCCTGCTCCACCCCGAGAGTCACCCGTACTTGGCAAGGCCGTGGATGCAGCCGGCGAGGTCCTTGGTCATCGTTCCGCTCTCCACAGTGTCCACACAGACCTTCTCCAGCGTCTGTGCAAACCTGGGGGTGGCAGCACCGCAGCTCCAGCGTGGCCAGCACCAGACCCTGCCACAGCTGTGCCTGGGGCAGCTGCTGGCAGAGACCCTCAGCCCAGGGACCCCCACCCTGCCCTGCTCACTTGATGAGGTCAGGGTTACTGTCCAGCTTGCCCCGGTGCTCCAGGCCACGCGTCCAGGCAAAGATGCTGGCAATGGGGTTGGTGCTGGTGGGTCGTCCCTGCATGGAGAGAGCGGTCAGCTGTCTGGTGTGGGCACCACACTGTGAGCAACCTGGCACAGGCAGGTCCTGCCAGCACAGCACACCCACCTTCTGGTGCTCCCGGTAGTGGCGGGTGACAGTGCCGTGGGCGGCCTCAGCCTCGATGGTCTTTCCGTCTGGACACACCAGGACGGAGGTCATCAACCCCAGGGAGCCAAACCCTGCAGCAGGACAGCGGTCAGGGCGGCTCTGTGAGGGTGACCACACATAGCCCACCCCACCTGTCCTCTCCCACTGCCCCACCTTGGGCCAGGATGTCTGACTGGACATCCCCGTCATAGTTCTTGCAGGCCCAGACAAAGCCACCAGAGGATTTCAGCATCTGGGCGACCATGTCGTCGATGAGACGGTGCTCGTACCAGATCTTCAGCTTGTCAAACTCCGTCTTGTAGTGCCTGGGAGCCCAGGCTGGGGGTCAGCCTTGTCCACCCGAGATGGGTCCTGTTGCCAGCCCCTCCTGGGCAGCCCCCCACAGCAGCCCAAGCACCCCCCCGTCCATACTTATCAAAGATCTCCTGGAAGATGTCCTTGAAGCGCCCGTCGTAGGCCTTGAGGATGGTGTTCTTGGTGCTCAGGTAGAGTGGCCACTTCTTCTGGATGGCATACTGGAAGCAGCTGTGCGCAAAGCCCGAGATGGACTGCGTGGGAAGTGCACAGACCCCTTGGGACCCTGACTCCCCTCCTGGCAGCTTCCCCAGGGTGGCAGGGCATGCTGCCCCGCAGGGACCCCTCCAGCCCCACCAGTACCTCGTCTGTGTTGTACATGCCCATGCCCACGCCGCCACCAGGGAAGTTGAAAACCTCCCACTCCTTGGTCCCGCTGCCATCCTTTGGCGTGAAGACCATCTTGAAGGTCCCAGACTTGCTCACCACAAAGTCAGTGGCTTTGTACTGCGGGGGGCCGGGCAGAGCGTCAGGCAGGGGCCACGGGAGCTGCTGGACATGCCCACGCCGCCAGCCCCCACGCCAGGCTCACCTGGTCGCCATGGGCATGGCGGCCGATAGTGATGGGCTTGGTCCAGCCGGGCACCAGGCGGGGGATGTTCTTGCAGATGATGGGCTCCCGGAACACTGTCCCCCCCAGGATGTTTCGAATGGTGCCATTGGGGCTCTTCCACATCTTCTTCAGCTTGAACTCTGGGGGGCATGCAGAGGTGAGACCCTCCAGACCCCCAGAAGAACCCAGCCCCTGCCAGCCCCCACCATGCTGTGGGCTGACTAGATGCCAAGGGGTGCCCAAGGGGTAGGACAGCCAGCACAGAATTGTGACTGGCACGGGGCAGTTTGTCCCCCAGCCCCATGCCCGTGGGGTCCCCACAGCACCCACAAGCCCCCCAGGATGGGGAGGGAGGCACAGCACTGAGCATGGTGCATCCCCCAGCCCACTGGAAACCTGAGCTGGCTGGGGGGAGGCACTGCTGACCCCAAGGGGCTGCACACAGACAAGAGGGGGCTCAGCACTCCATGGAGCTGCCAGCACCCCACACTGTGGTGGGAGCTCGGCCCCCGCACCCCCTGCCCACCTTCCACCCTGGCTTCGTCGGGCGTAATGGTGGCACACTTGACAGCCACGCTGTACTTCTGGGTGGCCAGTGCCGAGTCAATGGTGACCTGGTCGTCTGTCTTGTCCCGGTGCGGCAGCCCCAGGTCAAAGTACTTCAGCTGGACATCCACATTGGGCAGGATGAGCTGGGGGGCCAGGAGAGCGTCAGATCAGGGGGCCAATGTGGGGTGCCTGGGGAGCAGCACCCTTGCACAGCCAGCCCCGGTACCCACCCCAGCACAGCCCAGCTGCCTGCCAGGGACCATCCTCCTCGGCCAGGATGATCCCCTCTGCCTGGGATGGGCCTCCCTGCCCGGAACAGTCCCCCCTCCCTGGGACCATCTCACTTCCAGGTCTATCCAGAAGCTGCGCTGATTTTCCCACCTCCTTCCTGCGGACAGAAGGACGGAGGTGGGAGGGACAGATGCAGACCAGCACAGGCACCGCCTGTTCCCCGTACAGCTTCCCCAGCTTCACTGGTGGCACACCCACCCATTCCCAGGGCAAGACCCTGTCACCTTCTCCTTGATGAAGGCCCAGATGATCCTCGTCATCTCGTCCCCATCCATCTCCACCACTGGGTTGGCCACCTTAATCCGCTTGTCAGCATCTGGGGAGCAGCTGGACAGTGTTAGGGGTGCACCCCTGGCCCCACAGCTCCTCACCCTGGTGTGAGGCCAGGGAGTCCTGCGGGAACCACACAGCCCCATCTGGCCAGATGTGGGTGCCACCCCAGCTACAGGTCGGGGACAAACCCTGCTGGGGTCTGGGTCAGTTCGTGGGTCAGGGTGCAAAACACCCCATGGCAGTGGGACAGGGACAGGTGCACATCCCTTTGGGGTGGGACCCGTGCGCAAGCTGGGCTGCAACGCCGCAGTGAGACTGAGACCAGGATCAGAACCAGGACCAGGTGTAAACCCCCTGGAGCCAGGCCCAGGCACAAAACAGGGTACAAATCCCTGCCTGGCTCCTGGACCGGGACTAAATACCTCTGGGTGCCAAATTTGGCTGCGGGTCGGGCTGTAAAATCTCACGTGGGACCCAGACTAGAGGTGACCCCCCCGACCCGGGCGGGACGTGAGCGCTGACAGGCTGCAAAACTATGTGGAGCTGGAAGCAGGAGTTAGAGCGGGAGCAGGAGCAGGAGTGAACCTTCCTGGGGGGGCAAATCGGGTGGCAAAACCCCGTGTGGGTCTGGGACCAGGAAAGGAACCCCAAGGCTCTGATCGGTACAAACTGAGGTGCAAAACGCGGCATGGAACATGGACCAAACGCCCCTGGGACCAAATTCCTCCGGGACCAAACCCAGCCGTAAAACCCCTCGTGGAACCGGGACCAAACCCCCTGGGACCAGACCCAGCTACAAAACCCGGCGTGGGTCCGCAGACCACCCCGGGACTGTCAGCAGGCGTGGGTCCGGATCCAATTTCAGATACCGCCCCCCAAAAGAATCCGACTCGCCTCGCCGTGGGTCTGAGGAGAGCCCCTCGTGAGCAGCCCCAGGGACACGAGGCTCCCCGCCCCCCGAGCCCCCCGTGTCCCCACACTCACAGTGCCGGCGCTGCCCCACGCAGGCGGCGGGGAGCGGGCAGCGGGGCAAGCGGCTGAGCGCCAGCGCGGCGCGGAGACAACGAGCGGCCATGGCGTGGGCGGACACGGTGGGGCGGACACGGTGGGGCGGTTCTCTCCGCCCCGGGGCGGGACAGAGTCCCGGCGCCCGGCGTGGGGCCTCGCTAGAGCTCCGGAGGGGCCCGCGAGGGGTCCCACGCGGAGAGCTCGGGCCATTGCTGCATCCCCCCCTGATGCCAGCCACAAGGTGACCGGGATCCGCAGCGGTCCGCATTCCCAGCAGAAGGATATGGCATTCCTGGGTGCATCGGGGTTACGGACACGTGGCCAACCCCCGCGTGGAACCAGGACCAAAACAACCTGGCATCAAACCTGGCTGTAAAACCCTGTGTGGAATCAGACCAGACCCTTCCAGGACAAGATCGATCTGTAAAACCCTGAGTGGGACCAGGACCAAGCCCCCATGGAACCTGACCCAGTTGCCAAACCCCACTTGGATCAGGGACCAGACACCCCCCAAGACCTGATCCAGTTGTAAATCCCCACGGGGAACCAGGAACGAACCTTCCTCCAGGACCAAACCTGGCTGCAAAAGCCCACGTGCGACCGGCAACAAACCCCGACCTGGGATCAGACCAAGCTGTAAAACCCCTTGTGGAACCAGGCACGAACCCCCCTGGGACCAGACCCACCTGCAAAATCCCTCATTAAATCGGGATCAAACCCCTGCAGGGTCAAACCCAGTTGTAAAGCCCCTCGTGGGACTGGGACCAAACCCCACTGCAAAATCCCGTGTGGAACTGGGGGGTACGCTGGGGTTGGGGACACGCTGCCATAGCCTGTCCCTACATGGAAGCTGGTGTCCCTACTCATGGCCAGCGCGTGACTCGGCAGCTGGATCCAGTGGAACAAGGGCAGCTGCCACTGTTGCACCGGGGACCTTCACCTCACCTGGCCCCCGCGTGGGAAGGAGGAGGAGGAGGAGGAGGAGGACGGGGGTGATGCACACCAGGGGCCCCCTGAGAAGGCGCATGGAGCGTGCTGCTGTGGCTGGGAGGCTGCTTGGGCTAGGATTTGTGCTGCCCTGCTGTCCCAGCCAAGCCGATGGCTTTTTTTAGCCACATGGGACGGGCAGATCCCGCTCCAGGAGGAAAAACAGCCCTGGAGCTGGCAGCCTCCGGCGGAGGGGCTGGGGGGAGCCACGGCGGGTGCTGACGTCTGCCTGGATTTAACATTAACCAGAGCAGGAGCCACGGGGCCGCAGCAGTGGGGGGGTCAGCACCAGAGCGCTCCAGGGTCCTGGATGTCCCACTCCCACTACCCACCCCATGGCACACCATCTTGCCAGCAGCCCCGCAGCCACATGCCAGCACTGCTGGGGCTGCCCCCTGGCACAGGGCCCAGGGGGCTGCCTGGCCACCCCCCCCATGCCCTCCCAGCTGCCCTTGCCCTGGCCCCGCAGCCAGAGCCACCCAGTGACCGCGGCGCTGGCAGGACACGGTCAGGCCAGCGTGGCAGTCGTCCCCTGCGAGGAAAGGACAAGAACAGTCATGTGGCACAGGCCCAGGAAAGGCCCCAAACAAAGGCACTGTCCATCCATCCCTGGCTGCAACCCAGCCACCCGCCCTGTGTCACACCAGTGTCCCCAGTGAGGGATCTCAGGGGGAACTGGAGAGCTGGCAGGGCTGGCTATGGGGCTGGGACCTAAGGGAGCAACAGATTGGAGACCCATCCAGGGCATGAACAAGGGCATGGAAGAGGGTCTGCATGTCATCCCCGCTGCCCACAGGCAACTCCATGTCTGCCCATGCATGGGGGCACCGGGGCACTGATGGGGGCCGTGCACCCCGTGGGGCAATGTGTTATGTTTCCATGTGCTGCCGCCAAACGTGGCAGCTGCTGGCCTGCAGCCTGGGGTGGAGGCTGCAGTCCCCCCTTCAGCAACCGTTTGACTTCCCTGAACCTGCTGCAATGACCCTGCCCCAGGAACCTTATGGAGAACCCTGCCCACCCAGCACTGACCAGTGTTTTGGTGCCCACTAACCCAGCAGCTGCTCTGGGCCCAGCTAGCAGCCACTGGCTCTGAGTGTCACCGTGGGGACACCCATGGCTGTGGTTACCTCAAACCCCACAGAGCCATGGGTCACCGTGAGGTGCCCAGATCTGCCATGAGTTACCCCAAAACTCCCAGAGCTGGGTGTCACTGCCAGGATTTCACTGTGACGCCTGGAGCCAAGTGTACAGGCACCACCTTTGCTACTGGGGACCCTGAGAAAGGGCCCCCAGTGGGTGCTGCCTTCCAAAACCATGCTTCCTGCCAGCCCCACAGTGCTGTGGCTGTGCGGAGGGGGCTGGGACATACAGCCTCGGGGACGATGATCATCACGACCCCATTTGGGCCAGTGTCACTCCAGCAACGGCGACAGAGGTCACAGACCAACCCTACAGCTCCCACCCCTAGAGCTGGGGCCGAGTCAGCCAGGAGCTGCTGCCCCCCGGGACCCCCGGGGCGGGGCGGGCCGGAACGGGGAGGGGCGGGCCGGCCCTTTGTTGTGCCGCGGGCGGAGCCCCCCGGAGCCGCCCCCGCACCGCCCCTCAGCGCCGGCGGGGAACACCCGGCAGCCGGCCCCGCTGCCCGCGGCTGTCCCTGCGCACCGGAGCCGCGGAGCTGGTGAGCGGTGTGGGGTACCGGGCACGGGTGGGGATGTGCGTGTGCGAGAGGCGGAGTGTGTGTGTGTGTGTGTGTGTGAGAGAGAGAGAGAGAGAACGTGTACGTGTACGGATGGCTGCGTGCGCGTGTGTGCGGGGCTGTGCGCGTGTGTGCGGGGCTGTGCGCGTGTGTGCGGGGCTGTGCGCGTGTGTGCGGGGCTGTGCGCGTGTGTGCGGGGTTGTGCGTGTGTGTGCGGGGCTGTGCGGGTGGGCATGCACAGGGGCGGTGTGTACATGTGCACGGAGGTCCCCGAGGGATGTGTGCGCAGGGGGTGGTGGAGGGGCTGGGGTTGTGGATCAGTGTGAGAATGTGTGAGTGTGCCTGTGTGTGCCCATGTGTGTACCTGTGTGTGGCTGTGCCCGTGCATTTGTGTGTGCACGTGTGCAAGAGTGTCTGTATGTGTGTGTGGTGTGTGTGACTGTGTGCACCTGAGCGTGTTTGTGTGTGTGAGTGAGCCTGTGTACACGTGTGTATGTATGTGCAAATGTGTTTGTGTGTGCGTGTATGTGCAGGGTGCAGGCACACCAGGGGCCGTTCCCTCAGCCTGTTCCCAGACATGTGTTTGCTGCCCAGGGCGTGAACACCCCGTGACCTCGCTGCGTGTGTTTACATGTGCCGGGTGTGCATACGCCACGGCTCGGCCGAGGGTGTGGAAGCACAGGCACGGAGGGTGCTTGGGATGGGAATCATGGGCTGCTTGTGGCTAGGCCTGTTAGTGCACGCTCAGGGATGGGACACACGTGTGCGTGGTGTGCCCCACTGTGTGCTGTGCCCTGGACACCTGTGGGATGCACATGTGCTGTGTGTCACGGGCATGTGGCCACGGCACCTGAGGAGGTATTGGTGCCCAGGCAGCCCCTGGGCTGGGGGTGCAAGGAGAGTCAGCATCCCATGGGCTGTCGGGTCACTCCATGGGCCTGCTCCACCTGGGCCTGGGGCTGCCTGGGGGGCTGGCACCTCTCTGATTCAGGCAGCAACACAGCAAGGGTACCAAGAGTACCATGGGACCAAGGAGACCAGTGCTTGTTTGGGCTCTGCAGAGCCCAAAGTAGCTGGGAAGAGAGCACCCATCCCTGAGCCAGAACCCCCCACTCCTGCACTCCAGGGTTTCGATGTGCCTGCACTTGGAGCCCACCACCTTGCTGCCCACCAAGGGTGCTTGCTGCCAGGGGTACCTGCTGGCTCTGCTCTGCCCCATGCCAGGGGTGCCTGACGTAGTGGGGGCCCAGGGATGTACCCCATGTATCCTGCAGCCCCCTGGGCAGGCAGTGCAGGGGTACAGGCAGTGCAGAAGTGCAGGTAGGCACTGGCATCACTGGAGACAACTGGGCTGTGGGGGTACCCCATGGCCCTCAGAGCCAAACCTAACATTGTGCAGGAGCAATGGGACAAGTGTGGGCTTTGGGGTGCCTGGTACCCTGGGTGCAGAGTCCCTCACAGCATCCTTTGGGACAAAGGGGAACTCTGTAGGGTAGTGAGTTTCTTGCTGTGTGCCACCATCAGAGAGCATCAACACCCCAGCCCAGAGGTCCTGGAAGCAGAGTCTGAGCTGGTGGTGGGCCAGGGGCATGGGGGCAGCTCACCTTTGTCCCATGGGAGACCCTTGCTCAGGCAAGGTGTCACAGCTGGTGCACACAGAATGAGGGATGCCCCGGGGCCCTGTGGGGAGCCCTCATGCCACAGGCCAGGGGCTGCCCCAGCCCCTGTTCCTGTTTAAGGCCTCTCCCAGGGGGCTGGTAGGAAGCAGCAAAGCTGAGCCACGCTCCAGCTGCGGCCATGCCTCCAGGTATCCCCATGCAGAGAGACCCGCGATCTCCGAGCAGCCAGTGCTGAGCAGCTGGGGCTGGAGCATCTGTGAGTCCGCAGGGCCCACAACCGCACGCTGCAGGTGTGTGTCACGCGTGCTCACACGCTGTGAGTGTGCACGGCCCAGAGCAGAGACCGCCTGCTTCTGTCTGGCAGCTCCCACAGCCAGCCGAGCTGGGGGCGCGCGTGTGAGCGCCGGGAGCTGGGGAGAGCCCAGGCGCGTGGGCTGCGTGCGAGCCGGGTGTGGGTCTCTGAGCAGGGGCCGCGCCCGCACTGCTGCCCGTGCTGGGACAGGCTGTGGAGGAAGGTGGGAACATGCAGGCAGCAGCAGAATCGAGGCACACGCAGCCCTGTCCCCACTGCCTGCAGGCAGCAGCAGCACCCAACTCCGCCACCACCTTCCCAGGCACCCACTGCCAGTGGGAAAAGGGCGGCAGGCGCTGGCGTGGGAATTTGGTGCAGAAACCACCACCCCAGCTGCCCGCTGACCCTAGGCTGTGTGTTTTGGTGCTGCCCAGACACCCAGAGCGGTTTCCCTATCGCCGGCAGCAAACAAGGAGGGTGGCACAGCCACCGCACTGCTGCGTGCCGGTGCCTGCAGTGGGGCACAGGGCACGCACAGGCCTGCGCGGGTGCGGAGTGGCGCAGGGTGCTGCGGGTGCCCCCGGCGCTGCCCCACTGGCAGCTGCGTGGGCAGGACAGGAGATAAATGGGAGTTTGGCGTAAACAGCCCCAGCTGCCAGCAGCGCTGGAGCGGCACTTAAAGGCGCAGGCTCTGGCCTTGCTTTACTGCCTGGTCCTGCCCTCCCCGCCCACTCTGCCTTCCCTCCCCTCCTGCCCTCCCTCCCTGCTTGACCCTTCCCTCTCTCCTTGCCTGCCCCTTCCTTTTCCTCCTACTTCTACCCCCCCTGCCCACCCCAGAGCAGCTGCCCTTCCCACAGAGGGGTCCTGTCCTTGCTGTGTGCCATCACACTGTGGTGTTGGCACTGCACTTCCACGGCCATGTGCTGGTGACAGCTCAGACTGCAGAGTCCCCCAAGGTGCTGTGGGGTGCCATGGGGAAGGGGGCTATGTCTGCAGGGTGAATGCCTGCTCCCACCCCACACACAGTGATGTCCCTGGCTGAGTCCTGTCTGTCTGTGGCACCTCCTGGGCAAAGGGTACTGATAAGGCCAGGGTGGAGCCGTGGGGCTGTCCCGGGCCTGGGAAGGAACATCGGGCTTCATCAGGCACAGCAGGAGCAGCAAGAACAGGAAGGAAGCAAGGCCAAGGGGTACTACAGGGTACCCCACAGCCCCTGGACACCAGGTACGGCCCAGGAGTGGGCACTGTCCAGCAATGCTGAACAGGCAGAGTGTGGGAGTGTGGGCACAGCTGTTCCAGGAATGTGGGCACAGCCGTTCTAGGAGCATGGCTACAGTTGTCTGGGGAGTGTGGGGAGTGCTCCTCCCATGCAGGGGACTCACAGGGGGTCCCACCAGTGTGGTGCCAGGGCTGGGACTGTCCAGGCAGGGCAGGGGGAGTGGTGGGAAGGGCAGCGGTGGGCATGCCAACCCCAGGAGAGCTGTCTGCTATGGGGTAGCCACCAACCCCCCTCCCTCTGTCCCCCTGTCACCCCGTTGCCATGGTGATATGAGGAGCTGTAATTAATAACAGTTGCGTGGGAGCTTCTGGCCGGGCGGGCAGCACTCCCGGGGGTGTGGGGGCTGCAAACTCTCCCCACACCTTGGCCAGGAACAAAGCCCACCGAGGGCCCGGGGCAGAGGGCCCTGCCCAGCACCGCCTGCTCGGCAGCATGGCCACACGAGGACCTCCGGGACGGACACAGCTGATGGCAAAGGATGTGTCCCCTCTGCCGGATGCTGCCTGTGGGGACACCGGTACCAGCCAGCTCTGCTCGGGGCAGGGCTGGCACAGGCACCCTGTGGGACCCCATTGTTCCCGAGGGAGGGCAGGGAGCGCTGGGCTGTGCCAGACAGAGCCCCCAGCCCTAGCAGAGCGGCAATGAGGCACAGTCTGAGTTGGGGGGTTGCGGGGGTCTCTGGCAGCAGCCGTGGGGCCGAGCTGTCCCCAAGGCAGACAGACACCCCCAGCCGGTCCCTCCCCGGGGTCCTGGGGCCGCAGGTTCTCCCTGCCGCGGGGATGGAGAGGGGTGCGGGCAGTGGCGGGGACAAAGCCGCGTCCCCTCCGGACCGTGACGGCCGCGGGGTGGGAACCGGGGCGGGACCCGGGGCCTGGTCCCACCGGGGCGGGGCGGGGGCGGTACCGGCGGGAAACCGGCCTCCTCCTCTTCCGAGCGTCCCGCCCCGCCCGGGGCACCGGCGGGACTGGGGCAGCGGGAGCGGCTCGGTACGGCCGGGAACAACAGATGGGTAGTGCTCGGCCCGGTTCGGTCCGGCCGGGCGGGGCTCCGCGCGTGGCCGCCCCGCCCGGTGCCGAGTGGCGGGCGGGCAGCGCCGGGGTCGGGCGGGCGGGGGCGGGGTCGGACCGTACTGTGCCGTGCCGTGCCATACCGAGGCGTACCGAGTCTCTGAGCCCTTTCTTTTCCTGCAGGTCTGCAGCGCCCGGACGGCTTCGCGGCGGCGGCGGAGCCGTGGCCCGGCTCGGCCCGGGATGGCGACCCGGACGGTACTGCCGGTCCTGGCTGCGCTGCTGGTCTCGGCGGCTCCGGAGCCCGTCCCGCGCGTCAGCCTGCCCTACGGTGAGTGTCCGCTAAGCTTCGGTGGGTGAGGGCCCGCCGGCACCGGGGAGGGGGGTCAGCCCTCTCCGGGGGCTCCGTCCGTCGTCCCCACTGGGGCGGCGCAGCGTCCCACGTCCCCCCGGGCTCCCCGCGCCGCGGGACGGGGCGGCCCCGCTTGGAAACGCCTTGTGACAGTGCCGAGGCTGCACAGCCCTTGCCAGCTCCCCGGGACGCGGGGGGACACGGAGACCCCCTTGTCAGCGGGTCGTGGACTGAGGGCTGGAGCAGAGCCCCGGAGATGCTGTGGGGCACAGGGGCACACCTCCCTGTGTCCAGACCCGCACCAAGGGCGGGAGGGTCTAGTGGAACACAGGGGTGCTCATGTCTCTGCACACAGAGCAGTGGTAGCAACCTGTACAAGATGGGTTGGACTGAGCCAGCTGGGGGGCTCTGCCTATGGGCCCCTCGCTGCTGAGTGTGTCCCCGGGGCTCCCCCAGCCCCTTACTGTGCCATGCTCAGTGCCGGGCAGCCCTGGGCCCCACTGCAGGCCCCTGTCAGCTGCAGAGCTGAGGGCTGTGCTGGGCAGGGGCTGGGGAAGGACATCCAGGAGGGTGCTCAGCCAGGCAGAGCCCTCACGAGTGGGGAGCCTGGCTGCAGCCACCCCCTGCCCTGCAGAGCCCCCCAGCAGCTGGCACTGAGTGGGATAGCAGTGGGGCATGCTCCTTGGGCTCAGCCTTGGCAGCTGTGTTGGGGCGGGGAGGGCTGCCCACGGGTGTCCAGACTGGCTGCACTGCCAGGAGAAGGTGGCTGGATCCAGCTGCTGCTGGATGGGCCAGCGGAGCCCATCCCGTCCTGTGCTGGGCAGCCTGGGAGGGTGCCGTGGTTTGGGCAGCTGGGAGCACTCCCTGGCTCAGCACGCTGTGGCTCGCTGGTGTGGACGTGGCCCCACCACGTGCTCTCGTGACCGCTGGCCACAGCCGTGGTGGCACCAGCAGATGTGGGACCCGCCGAGCTGGACGGGAGGCTGGAAGCCAGTGGGATGGCTAGGTCGGCGTCGTGCCATGCTGTGCTGTGCTGGGTCGAGCCGCGCTGCCCAGCCCTGCCTGCACAGACCGGTTCTGCCCGTGCTCTGCCCACCTGTGAGGCTGTGGAGGCTGTGGGGCTGCAGCCACAGGCAGGGTCTGAGAGTCCCAGCTGGACCCCAGTGCTGCAAGAGAAGCTGGGCAGGGGGCATGGGCCAGTGGCCGGTGTGTGCCCGGTGGTGGCTCCTGTGGAGTGCTGGCTTCATGGGGCTGCACTTGGTGGGAGGGAGGAGCTGGGAGCCGCTCCTCTGGGAGCGCTGGATGTGCCTGCAGCAGGTTTGTCTGGAAGAAGCAGGTCGTGTCCTGACAGGTCCCTGGCAGCCGCACCAACAGTTCCCCATGTCAGGACAGCTCTGCAGGGCGCAGGGGCCCTGCTGCCCCTCTGCTGCCATGCCCACCACAGGTGGCATCGTCCCAGCACTGGGGTGCAGGACCCCTTGAGGGGGATGCCCTGGGGCATTGGCTTCCCTCTCTCTGCACCACTGTGAGAACGGGGCTGGGTGCTGGGGCAGGGGCCAGCTGAGTCCCCCAGGGTACAGGAGATGCTGCCCCATTCAGAGGCATTTGGGGTGTGTGGAGCGATGGAGGGGGAGAGGGGAGAGCAGCGGGGTCCTGCCCCACAGCACTGTTGCCTCACAGCTCCTCGAGCACTTATACTGGCTCTTGTCTGGCAGGGACTGGCAGGAGCCCCGGTGCTGTCCTGGTGGGGCTCTGGGAGCAGGCAGAGGATTGCAGGAGGTCGGAAAGTCCTCGGAGTGTCAGAGGTCAGGGAGTTGGCAGTATGAGTCAGCCTAACGTGTCTCGCTGACACAGCCAGGCCCATCTGATTCAGAGCAGCAACAGGAGAGGAAGGGCTTCCGGGGCCAGGCCACCCACGCGGGACAGGACGGGACGGGCACTCCCTGACTCAGCACGGCCGCTGCCCCGTGTCCAGCACCGGCTGAGCCCCAAGGGCCAGGGCGGGCAGCACTGGGCTGAGCCCTGAGTCCAGCACAGGCTGAGCTCTGCGAGCTGGGGCAGGGAGATGCTCTCCCTGCTGCAAGGTTGGGGTCCCTGTGGGCCCAGGCTGGGCTGAGCCTCCTGTGCCACAGGGCTGAGCCCCGGGGCTGTGTGCGACCGGGTAGCTGCCCCAGTGCTGGGCAGGGCTGCTGCAGCGTCCCCAGGGCCTGGACACAGCAGTGCCTCATGGCCGCCCTCGGGCACTGTTGTGGCCGTGCACAGTTCACTGCAGTGTGTGTGGTGCCACGTGTGTCTGGCAGCATAGGCAGAGCCAGATCCGGCCCTGGTTGCTCTGGGTGGGTGGCACGGCCGAGGTGCTGAGCAGAGGGGCCGTGGTGAGCGGTCTTGGGGATCAGGTGCCCGTATGAGGCTGATGCCAGTCGCTCTCCTCCCAACAGACTCAGCTGAGCGGGTGGTGCAGCGGTTTGAGGCACCCGGCGTGTCCAACTACACGGCCCTGCTGCTGAGTCCGGATGGCAAGACCCTCTATCTGGGGGCACGGGAGCTGCTTCTCGCCCTTAACACCAGCCACTTCCAGCCCGGTGCCCCGGCTCGAAGGGTGAGCTTAGGGATGGGCTGGGTTGCCCACAGGGAGGGAGGGGGCACCCAACCAGCTGGAATGCTGGCTCCCCTCCCTGCCAGCATTTTGGGTCTCAGTGAGCTGCTGTATTCAGGAGCAGCCACCCCGGAGCAGGATGGTTGGCACGGGGAGGACATGGGTGCTGGGGCCACAGCAAGGAAGGTGTGGGTGGACCGGGCGGGGACAAGGGGCTCCCAGTGACTGTCCCCTCTCCACAGTTGCTATGGAGTGCAGATGAGGAGAAGAAGAGGCAGTGTGTGTTCAAGGGCAAGGACCCCCAGGTAAGCCCCACTACCAGTGGCCGTCAGGGGCTGCGATGGAGTGGGCAGTGCCCACGCAGGGTGGATGTGAGTGGGATGGCTGAGCCGAGAGCTGAGCCAGCTCCTCTGACCTCTGCAGAGGGACTGTCACAACTACATCAAGCTGCTACTGCAGCTGAACAGCACCCACCTGTACACCTGTGGGACCTGCGCCTTCAGCCCAGCCTGCGCCTACGTGGTGAGTACAGGAGCAGGGCCTCACACAGGTCCCCCCACGCTGTTGGGGCCCTGCAATGGGGTCCCGGGCACTGGGATGAGCACTGCCAGCTCACAGCCTTGTCCTGTTGCAGAACATGCAGCACTTCAGCCTGGAGCGGGATGTGTCGGGGAAGGTGCTGCTAGAGGATGGGAAGGGACGCTGCCCCTTCGACCCCGAGTACCGCTCCACGGCTGTCGTGGTCGGTAAGGCACAGTGCCCTGGAACCCTCAGTCTCTCTGTGCTGCCTCAAGACTCTTGCCCCCCATGTGCCACCCTGGCACCCTCACCCTCCCTGCAGTGCCCTGCACCCCTCGCCCTCCTCCCTGTGCCTCACCCTTCCTGCATCTGCCCAGCCAGGCTGAGCCAGGGCCGGGCTGTCACAGACCCTGGTGGGGAGCGAGGCCTTGCCAGTGGCGTGTGCTGGGTCCCAGCAGAAGCATCTCTTTGGTAGATGGAGAACTCTATGCCGGGACCGTCAGCAACTTCCAGGGCAACGAGCCGACCATCTCCCGCAGCCAGGAGAACCGCATCGCCCTCAAGACTGAAAATTCCCTCAACTGGCTGCAGGGTGAGCACTGGGGCTGGCACGGCTGGTCAAGGTTCTTGTCCCCCATAGTGTGGGAGGCTGGGGATAGGGCCAGCAGTGCTAAGGGTCCCTGTGTCCCCAGACCCAGTGTTCGTGGGCTCAGCCTACCTACGCGAGAGCCTCCCAGCCGGCAACCCCGAGGGCGACGATGACAAGGTTTACTTCTTCTTCAGTGAGACTGGGAAGGAGTTTGACTACTTCGAGAACACCATCGTCTCCCGCATCGCGCGCGTGTGCAAGGTGGGTGCAGAGCAGTGGGGATGCGTGGGGGACTGTGCCTGGGATATGACTTGCTGCTGGGGTGGGGTGTATGTGGGAGCACCCTGCACATTTCCAACCCTGGGTGCCTGGACCCCTGCTCCACTCACCCAGCCCCTGAGGCTCCCCGTGGCCACAGCTGTGGCGTTGTGCCCTGACCCGCTGTGCCACGCAGGGGGACCAGGGCGGGGAGCGCGTGCTGCAGCGGCGGTGGACGACCTTCCTGAAAGCTCAGCTGCTCTGCTCCCACCCCGAGGACGGGTTCCCCTTCAATGTGCTGCAGGACATCTTCGTGCTCACCCCGGGTGAGCTGCGCTGGAGGGACACGCTCTTCTACGGGGTCTTCACCTCACAGTGGTGAGCGATGGGGACCTGGGCCACTGCAGGGGGCAGTGCAGCGGTTACAGCTTTGGCAGGGGCCTGATCTTGCCATGGGCTCTGCCTGTCCCCACCAGGAACAAGGGGGGGCTGGGCTCGGCCGTCTGCGCCTTCCCCATGCGCAACGTGCAGCGTGCCTTCGGCGGGCTCTACAAGGAGGTGAACCGTGAGACGCAGCAGTGGTACACGGACACTGGCCCAGTGCCGGAGCCCCGGCCAGGCACAGTAGGTGCTCCCTCAGCACCTGCCCGAGCGCAGGATGCGGCATAGCCCCTCGCACTCTCCTGGTCCTGGCGGCTGCCACAGCAGAGCTGCCCGCCCACCTGCTGCCCTGAGGCCTACCGAGCCCCTTCCTCTCCCCCACAGTGCATCACAAGCCACACGCGGCACCTGAAGATCAATTCGTCGCTGCAGATGCCGGACCGGGTGCTGAACTTCATCAAGGACCACTTCCTGATGGACAGCCCAGTGCGCAGCCAGCCGCTGCTGCTGCAGAGCCGCCGGCGCTACCAGCAGATCGGCGTGCACCGCGCACGGGGCCTGCACGGCACCTACGACGTCCTCTTCCTGGGCATGGGTGGGTGCGAGCAGGCTCTGGTGGGGCAGGGTGTGCACTGTGCACCCTCCCCCCACTCAGCACAGCCCCTCTGTTCACAGATGACGGGCGGCTGCACAAGGCTGTGCGAGTGAACCACAGCGTGCACATCATCGAGGAGATCTGCCTCTTCCCTGATGGGCAGCCCATTCTCCAGCTGCTGCTGGACCAGGACCAGGCAGGAGCCAGGGCAAGGGGGGAGGGACACTGGGGGCTCAGCCTGCGTGAAGCAGGTAGTATTTGTGGGCTGGGAGACAGAGCCCTGGGAGGGCAGGGGTGTTCAGGAACCGACCCTCTGACCCTGCTATGTTCCTTCTCGCAGGGCCTTGTCTATGCAGCCACCTACACAGCAGTGGCCCAAGTGCCCTTTGCCAACTGCAGCCTGTACCGTAGCTGTGGGGAGTGTGTGCTGGCACGGGATCCCTTCTGTGCCTGGAGCCGTGGTGCCTGCCGCAGAGTCACCCTGCACCCCCCAGCACACCCACAGTAAGTGCTGCACCCTTCCTTCTCCATCCCTCTGCATCCCACAGCACCCCACTGCACCCTGCAGCACCCCGCTACCCTGATACCTCTCTGTTCCCAGGCTCTGGGCACAGGACATCGAGGATGCTGACACGGAGCGGCTCTGCCAGCTGGCCAATGCCTCCCAGCCCCGTCCCCGCATCCTCCTGCCCCCAGGTGAGCTCCTGTGGGTGCTACCATGGGGCTGGATGTCTCAGAGGCTCCTAATCTGCACCCCCATTACTCCCCCATCTGCGTCCAGGGTCCCCTTGCTGACTGTGGGTTCTGTCTGCAGCCTCGGGTGACCCGTGCCAGCGGATCCAGCTGCCACCCAACACTGTGCGGCCGCTGCCGTGCCAGCTGCTCTCCAACCTGGCCTCGCGGCGCTGGCTGCATGACGGGGCACCTGTCAATGCCTCCTACCTGGTGCTGCCCGACGGGGCCCTCATCCTGGTGGGGAGCCCCGAGCGCGCGGGCACCTACGAGTGCTGGTCACTGGAGGAGGGATTCCACAAGCTGATGGCCAGCTACTGTGTGAGCGTGCAGGAGCCGGCCCGCGGGCCGCTGGGCCCCGGCAGGAAGGTGGCCTCTGGCCATGACGCCCTGGAGACGGTCAGCACATCCCGGAGCACCTCAGCAGTGGGCAGCGCCGCAGCACGGCTGGATGGCAAGACCTACTGGACTGAGTTCCTGGTGATGTGTGTGCTCTTCGCTGCCGCCGTCTTCGTGCTGGCCCTCTTTGTTCTGCACCGGCACCGCGATGGCATGAAGGCCTTGCTGGAGCCTGGAGACCCCAGCCGGCACCAGAAGCCACCCCGCAAGCCAGTGGAGAGCCTACCCCTGAATGGCAGCAGCCTGCCTAGTGCAGCATCTGAGCACAAGGGCTACCAGGCCCTGCAGGACAACTACATCGTCAGCACCCCAGTGCATGAGCCCTCGGGCACGCCACGCACCTTCTCTGAGTCAGAGAAGAGGCCCCTCCATGTCCGGGACAGCTTTGTGGAGGTGTCTCCTGCCTGCCAAAGACCCCGGGTGCGCCTGGGCTCCGAGATCCAGGACTCAGTGGTGTGACGGGGACGAGAGCCAAGCCCTCGCCCATGACCACCTCTGCTGTGCTGAGCCTCACCGGACCGCGCCGCGGCCAGGGTCTGTGTTGTCTGTGTGTGCATGCCTGGAGCGTGGTGCCCATGGCCTGCGGCAGCACCCACCAGCTAGTGGGGTCTGAACTCCCGGGAGCTCCCTGGGCATCACCTCGATACTGGCAGCTGTGGGTGCGAGGGGTGCCACATGCCTTCCAGGGACCTGTGGGACTGTGCCAGCCCAGCGTCCCCACCGTGGGAACAGACACGGTGCCTGGCTCAGGCTGCTGGTGCGGCCCCGGCTCCGCAGGGCCCAGACCTCCTCTATGCAGAGGGCAGGAGGGGGCGGCCACAGCCCCCTCGCGTCCCGACTCACTGTGATGTCCCGCTGTGGGACCCAGGGCCACGCTTGCGGCCAGGTGGTGCCGGCCCAGTGGCATGTGCTGTGTGTCTGTGTTTGGTTCATTTTTAATACGTGGAAAATGTGAATCGTGTCTGTGGAAGGGGGCAGGGAGCAGCTCCCCCTGAATTGGGTGGGCAGGGACACCCCTGTGGCCCCATGTGCGTGTGCAGCAACGTCAGTGGTTTTTATATAAAGTCCAGGTGTCTCCTTTGGACATGTGTGTGTGCAGTGGGGCTGGGTGACTTCCCAGGCTGCAACCATCCTGGTGGCCCCACCGAGAGGAGCGGTGTCTGGCTCTTGGTGCCCCAGCATGACCCTCGGGGCAGGAGGGTCATGCTGGCTGTCAGACCTGCAGAGTGCCCATGTGCTTGGCTGAGCGTTGGGCCAGGGCACGCGGGGCCCTGCAGTGCAGTGGCTGTGTGCCCGTACAGGGACGCTGCCTGGGGCTGTGCCAGGGGTCCCTGTGACCCTCTGGCAGGGTATCACTCGAGCAGCTGTCGGATGTCTTGGGGCCGTGCCTGGAGGCCCATGCTGCGAAGAGCAGTGTGGTGGAGGCAGAGTGGGGCTGATACTGTCTTGACACTGGGAGAAGCTGGGGAAGGCAGAGGTGAACAGTAGTAAGAAAACTTGGTGCCTGGGGCTTGGAGCAGAGCAGCCTCCAGCAAAAAAGGGGCTGCGGCAGCCCCCTTCCCCAGGACCATGGTGTTGTGCTGCACATGGGATCCACTGCGGGCCCAGAGAGCAGCAGGTCCTTGTCCCAATCCCACCTGACTGTAGGATGACCCCAGCTGCTTTGCTGGCAGGATCGGACTCCATGGTGGCTGAGGACCAGGACTGGGACTGCGGTGCAGCGTTGCTCATGAGCCCTCGCACACCCTCGTGCCTGGGAAGCACCAGCAGCACCAGGATGGGGCTGAGGGAAGCAGTGAGTGCTGCATGGAGCTGGCGTGTTGAGGCAGGATTCCCCCCAGGGACCAGAACTGCCTCACTCCCAGCTGGACCTGCACACTGAATTTCCTGCCCAGCCTGTTCTGGGACATCAAAAAAGCCACCGGAGGCGTTGGCTGGTGCTTTGCCAGCAGACATGGCCCTGGGGCCGCAGGGGTACAGGCCTTGGCAGGCAGATATCGTCAGCTATATGGGGAATTGAGCTGG